TAATTATAAATTAATTAAACTTGAATAATTTTGTTGTCGTTCGGTTTTAAGAAATTCTCAGAGTTCGTAAAGCATTCGTTATGGTGCCACATTGCGGACGATTGACATACAGTCGTTTCGTCCTCTAGGACCCATAGATGATGCCATTGGCAAAAATCGCAGAAAACCCATTGGTCAAAATTACTGTTGAAGCAAAAGAGGATGGTTAGACCACCATAAATACCGATAGTTACAATTATGTTAGACAATCACTTTGTCGATAGCTTATATCTTGTATATCCCCCTCGATCGACAGTGTTGGTTGTCATTGTGTTTCCACTTCCATCTTGTTGTCTGTGTGTATTCCGTAGGCTATACTTAATGTTTATCCAATTAATTACATGCACGCAGTTTGTGTTAATGAATTCCAGCCGTCTGCGCAAAATTGTAACGTGAATGCATCATCCGTCATTTTTTGGCATGACGGAATGCAGCATTTATGACAATCACAAATCTTTCTTCTAAACATTTTTTTTTATTTAAACATTAAACTCTGTTCGGAGTTATAACCGTATAATTTTGACACGATTGTAGACAAACCGGCGCGTTATGATTATCTGACGGCAATTATGTTTAAAATTATGATACAATAATGTACATGTAATTACGTCAAAAGAGGTACTCGAGAGCTATGTTTCGTAAGTAAGATGGATACGTTTTATAGTGGTATTTCAGGTGGAATTGAAATATTTCCCGCTGTAAAACTTTGCCGTTTTATAAACCTAGCAAATGCAGATGACATCTATATTAGCTATGAATGCTATGGCCTCGTTTTTAACATTGACACTATAGGCGGATAGGTAGAGTGGTTAACACTCCGGCTTTCCAAGCAGGCGGCCGGTGTTCGATCTCCGAAGTCGCCGTACGCATGGAATATTAGAGAAAGTGTTTTTATCCCGCCCACACAACTCCAACAACCCAGGTGGAGTATAAAATGGTCTGGGGTGGGTGTTGCGTTATCTGTGCTGTAGCATTCAAGTGAAGTGGCACTATAAATGATACCATTGGAAGCAAGGTCCCACTACAAACAGAACAGAACACATCTCCAGCACACACACAGGCATACACACATGGGGAGATATTAGCCAGGTGGCATAGTACTAGTAGTTAGCGCCTGATAAGGCAGCTCCTGAGAATTCCTCAATATTGTATTGATTAATATATATATGCTAATTGCATTGACTGTGTCAAATTGTATATCTATGTACTGTAAAGCGCTTTAGAGTGGCTTATGTTAGCTAGATACCATGCTACTGACCTTCCATTCAGGGGATTGTTTTGTTCATTAAAATAGCAGGATAAAAACAACCACTTTCTTTAGCTAAATGCTAAATTTGGATTAAATAGCCAGATTTTCTTGGATATTAAATCATTTCAAAAAAGAAAATCAAAAACGGTAACTGTAACTACTGAACTGTTTTGAGTTTGCATCCATAGACGTTATGAATGCCAACTTGAAATGACACATATAAAATGAAGATGGAATTTATCATTCCGGTTGGCATTCATATTCCTTTCAGTGACAGCCGAAGGCAGTTCAATGCTTCAATGTACACCTATACTTTTTCATTGTCCTGATAAACACTTGCACTTTTGAATTTATCCTTCTGCATAGGACACGTATTTTATCAAAACTAAGCTGCAATGATTAAAAATGATAAAGAATTGGAAAGATTGGATCAACCATTACATTTTGCAAATTTAATATTAGTCCCGGCCCTTGCTTACAAATAAATGAGGTATTTTGTATAAAAAATACAGAAATTCTATATTCTTTACATACAAATTATTTCAATAAAGTTGATCAGTGACATTGATCTGTCATTTTGTTCGGGGTACCCCCGTCACTCAACATGGTGTTATTCAATGAGTTTCGTTGTCTTAAGGACGCAACATTCATAAACTATATCTGCCGTTGTTGTCCAGAGGTATATTTTTAGTTATATTGATCAGTAATATCTGATGTGTTTGCTTACGTATCAATATTTACGTAACAACTTCATAAAGAAATCAAAATGGGGGCTGAATATTGTCGACCCGTCGTTGAATTGAAAAACCCGACACATTGGACTTGCCCAGCTTCCGCGAGAAATATTCATGTTTTCCCCAGCAATACTTATTTAATCAGAGTGTAAGCTACACTTAGGGAGGTTTGTCAGTTGATAATGGTTTGATGAGGGTTTTCGTCAGTCATGTAGCCTACATGTGACCGTGGTAAACATTACCAGTGCCCGTTAATGCCAGGTTTAGCGACGGTGTCTTATTTGTCTGTCCAATATTCTCAAGATCAATGAGAAGTTTCCGTTTCTAATATTCTGATTTTTCCTGTTTTGTGGCCCAGACTTATCTCTCACTATAGTAAGTCTATATGCCTGTAGTCGGGGTAAGTGGTTGTTTCTGACACTCCGCTCGTTTTATTGAAATTCACGAGGACGAAACTGTTCCACCAAGAGTTTGAAGTGTGCTTTTAAGTCTATTTTTCTATGTCGGACATTATGATGACCCGATATCGTCTGTCTTGGTTCCTAACCATTATATCTCAGCTCGTGTCGGATGAAGAACCGACGTCATCAGATAACCGATTATGGCGTTCATGATGACAACAGCGCCTCCTGCTGAACATATCGGTTTAACGAGTATTGTTTGTAGACATATAAAATGTAGAGTCATACTTATATTTACAACAGAAGACTGCCTTATCGTCTCCTCTATCTAGTTTTATTTTATGTCACTTAACTATGGAAGGGTGAACGTAAGTGTGACTGAGGGGTACTTGGCCATCCAGCCAATGCTGATCTATCTTATGGCGCACGTTTAACTTCTTGATCATTGCTGCCATGCCTTGCTCCTCCATACTAAAAACCTTTCTTAACAATACTTTAAGATCTAAGAGTAGGAAACACTGCTGTGTCCGACTAATCAATACAAGGTATTGAATTTAAAGTACAGAACCTGACAATACTGATTAAATTCGCTTATATTTAATACAAATACATCATGAATTGGTGTTGATATTAGGAGTACGTGTTTCGCAGTGACAGTCGTGCCAACTCTACATAGAGTGGGTACGTATTGCGGCTGTCTAAGCGGGATGATTCAGCAGACGAGCCTCACACCACACTGTTAGAAAGCAATGCCGAGTGTGAATATAACCATGTCTACCTGTCCCATCAACAATTAACGGATCTGCTTGGTTATTCGTACTGCCTAGAAAACCCGATGGGAATGCTTTTTCATCATTGATCGTTTCCTTTATATTAGTTTCACGATGCTTCATTAAAGCACTGTTTGACCTTTAACCCCCAATTGATAAGTAGCTGATGATTTCGGAGCGTGAGCAGTCACGTTAAATTGTAGCTCGCTTGCCAATTACCAACAGCGATGTGCTCGTTAGAGCGAGTGTCCTATCGGACTGGAGACAGTTAAGACAGACAAAACTTCCATCTCTAATGTTCATATGTCATATAGCTTGCATAGACAAATACCCATCTCTACTTCATACTTCATATCTACCATAGTGATGTATTCAACAAGTTCTAAATACAATACAGGGAAGCAAAGAGAGCGCCCTCTGTCACGTTATCATGTACGTCGTCATAGCTTGGCATTATAAGCTTGACATATTTTTGATAATTATTGCAAATGATGTATAAAGAGGTCAGTATGGATAAGTATTGGTTACCGAGCATTGTAAATGTCACAGGTGATTTGTTTTATAGGCAGACATTATGACGGTTATTTCTGTATGGTGTTTCAAAGCTGCTGTACCGTTATATCGACCATTCCATGGTATCTCCTACTGTTACTCTTTATTCTCAATCTGTTTAAGTGAATTACTAGTTTTAGAGTAAATTTCTATTTACTCAAAATCCTTCATTTATAATGTTATATAAAGGGTTTTATTGGCACTATTTCCCTTGCCCGAGGTATCTGTTGATTCAGAAACCTTCAGTCTTTTGACCTCTAGTACCTCAAAGAACGAAATGACCATATGGTGCCGCACACTTTCGCGCTCTTTGGTTTTCGCATTGATAAACATTATTTCAAATCTGATTCCTTCTCGTATTTTTAGATTTAGATATCTCCACTACGCACTTTATATTTAAATGAAAAATACAGAGCAGCATTTTGTTTTAACTCTGTAACAATAGATAATATTACGAAGTTACAAGTTGTCTTTGTAACTCCAGACTTCATCTCGATACATGTAGCACTGTTTATTCATAAGATGAGTTACCGTCAATTAAAAACCTATCATGTTTAACGATACACTATTCATTTTTTATAAATTTTCTATCGAAATCTTAAGAGAATGTCGTGAATTATTCTCATACGAATTTCCCCCTGAAACAGTTGCCCGTTAAAAATAAGATATTCAAATTACATATGTTTGATATAATCAAGAATAGTTCACATTTGTTGGAATAATATACTTCATATCGTTCAATCCGGTACAAAACCTCCTTATTTCAAGTACGAGGTTTGAACATTGTGTGGGGTTTTTTTGTTAACCTATCGACGGAGTGTGGTGTAAGGTAAATAAAATGGCCGGTACTGTGTATGGGACATCACATGACATGAACGCTTGCCGTATCTGATGTCAGAGACGAGCGACTATTCATGGTGCGTTTCCATGTACTTGGCCTCCTCATTTCCCGGTGTTGTCTTTTTTAGACCGAAATGTAAGTTCCTCTTTTATCCTTGTATCTTCATACTACATGTACTTTTTCAATGGTCTCATTGAAAATCTGTTCTTATTTTGTCGTAGTTTTAACGATTTTGAATTAGAATTATGGTATAATTTGTAGACACTTCGGTAGTCTCTTGCTGTTTTTATTACGGTTTAAGAGGTAACTAAAAGTCCTTGTTTGAAGTGTGAAACACCTCGTTAGAGCTGATATTGATAGCATTTTATTAAGAGTGACAAAAGGAAAATGACACATGTCCGTCTTGTCCCCAAGGTTGACCGGACCGGAGGCGGAGAAATGACTGTCGAGGACTTTGAGCGCGTGCTGCGGGACCCAGAATTCTACCCTGACCTTGACAGACACACGGCGGAAGTCCTGATGATGAAGTGTCTAGAACCAAACCGTCAGTTCATTTCTTACCAGGAATTCATCAATATTGTAAGTAAATTTGTCTTATAGGGATTCATCAACGTCCTCTCTTATCCGGATTATTCTAACAAGAAATCCATCAACACGTACACAAATCAGTCGTCTCCTACTAGGAATGAGATAACATTGTGAGTGAATTCATCATTTTCTTCCGCCGACTAATCGACATTTTTAGTGCATCCGTCATCCTTAGCTTGATTTTATCAATAGTCATGGGACCTCGTCGATACGGCTTTATCTCCAGTGTACGGTAACTATAGGTCACGTATTCAAAAAACACAGAGATACTCTCTGTTAATTAGTATCCATTTGATTTGGTACCGGTTTGGATTATTTTGATATAGCTTTTACAGAACGATACATATAAAACATAAACATTAGTAACTAGTTTAATAATTATCATATCAATTAAGACACTATTATCATAGAAATAAAAATCTAATTTCCATTCTGTTGGGACATTATCTATGCCGTGTGGGGGTCTTCAAAGATAATAAAAGTCCAATGCCAGTATCATTAACACTTTCAGGTGGAATCTATGTCAGAGCCAAGTGAAGAGAAATATTTAATTCATTCTTAAAGGGAGGTAATCCATACATCACTGTAAACAGGGTGTGCATATCAGTCGGTGTCCTAGACCCGTCACCCATGTAGATCTCGCGATAATGAATTTGCTTTCTAGTATCTTTTTTAAGATCTTCATGCTAATATCTTAGGTTTAAAAATACGTTCGTGTTGTCCAGATAAAACCTTAACGCGTTAACACTTATTTCAGTTTGTGAGGTATACCTTCAAAGCGCAAATAATTACATCAATGTACATTTGTTTAACAATAATCTGATAAAATTACAACAACGTTTGCATAACTAATTTATAGTTATCATTATGTCCTTCGGAATCGTATGTGGCTTGTCTAGTCATAGTATTGATGTCCACAGTAATCTGATTAGGCCTAGTCGTTATTAATAGATGACGTGCCGGTGAGGTAACTGAGGTGGTTTATAGACAACACTACATGTCGGTTACTATCGCCGCGTTTAGTGATCCACAATGTCTATTCACACGACCCAGTACATGTATGTGGGCCTGTCAGTTATATCATAATAGAATCATAACGCTGAGTCATGTACCATGAGCTGATATTGTTATACGTCGCCTGTCCATGTGTTAGAACGTTATAACGGACATGTGTTAGAACGTGATAACGGACATGTGTTAGAACGTGATGACGGACATGTGTTAGAACGAGACAACGGACATGTGTTAGAACGTGACAACGGACATGTGTTAGAACGTGATAATGGACATGTGTTAGACCGTGATAACGGACATGTGTTAGAACGTGACAACGGACATGTGTTAGAACATGACAACGGACATGTGTTAGAACGTGATAACGTACATGTGTTAGAACGTGATAACGGACATGTGTTAGAACGTGATAACGGACATGTGTAAGAACGTGATAACGAACATGTGTTAGAACGTGATAACGGACATGTGTTAGAACGTGATAACGGACATGTGCTAGAACGTGATAATGGACATGTGTTGCCGTAGTTTTGTCGAAATTCGAATAGCGGTCTGGCCGACAATTTGTTATTCCTATGATAAGCTGCTTTGGTTCGCCTACCAACGTGGTACAGTTTATAAGTACATTGACATAAAACGACGATTGAGTAGACATTACCTTTTGTGTTACTATATCTTTATTATTCATATCAACAAATATCATTCAATGGATTAAAATAAGTCACCCCTTTGTTAATATCAGTCCTATATATATGTCGGTGCTCTCCAAACCTACACCCAAACTTTCTAGATATTTTAATGAGCATTGTTGGGTTTTGTGGGTTTTTTGAAACCCGATACAATGACTGTATTCTGTTAACATTACGCTGAACATCTACCTTACTCATACACGCAGCTGTTTGGGAGGTTAGTTTGTCTTCTTCGTGCTGGGTTGCAATAAGGCCATCACCAGATATTTTCATTTATGTTTGTCTTGGGACCACTGGTGTATTTGTACCCATGTCCAGTCTTTCTCTTTTAGTTCTTTCTCAACAGACCGCCTCCAGGTTTAGTTTGGTCTTTCTCTCTGTCTGTTTCCTGGTGGTGTCCATCTCATTGCTACTCTAGGGATGGGGTCATCCACCTCCATCTCCTTCGCTTAACTTCTTGTGAAAGAATATATTGTTGCAAACTCCGAATTCAACGGTATCTTTATTTAATTAGAAACCGTTTTATATATTTAAAATTCCAAATAACTTGTTTACGTTTCCATCACTTGAAATTCCTATATTAATTTCTATGTGACAAACAGACTTTAAAGTTTGTAGAATAGTAGAAAGTTGACTATGTTAACTGTCATATTGTTAAAGTGATTTGTTTAAAGAGAGAATTATTGTACATGACAGAATTACTGAAAATTTACGTTATCAATGTTTAACGCTCTAAATAACATTTTAAAAACTAAAATCCGTATCAACTTACAATACATAGAAATACTGAAACAAACTACTGTGTAAGGATACAGCCAATCCCACTTACTATATTGATTTTTGAGATCATTAATTACATATAAATCGATTTTTTTCAATTCTTACATCTATTTACAGCCTAGTCGTCCATAAAACGAAAAATAAGGAATAAGAAAATATTTTTTAAGTAAAATATAAATCTTAAAACGAAATTGTCCATGTACACTGTAAGTTATTGTGCTCGTCATGAGGTTATATTCATGTTTTATTTTAAATACTGTTTTCATCAGATTGTGGTTGCTTCCTTTGGAATGTCGTACATATATATTTTAGACACTTTTTATCAGACTGTTTGTGTTTTCCTGGGATGTCTCTGTGAGTGTAATAAAATGATATAAGACTTGTAATAATCAACGGATTCCTTCCTCCACCATAGCAAAAACTGTAAAACCTTGTCTGTACGAGGCCCGAGTCTAGCTGTTCAGAGTCTGGTTGGCTTAACGGCTCGTTTTGTATACATTTCAGTACACTATGTTTGAGAAATAATTGAAAATTTAAGAATATTTTTGTATTTAATGTGTTGCAGTGAGTTTTTTCATACCTACATATACTACTGCAGTATCTTAATAAGCTTTTTGAAGATTTTGATAAACGTTTTTCGTTAATATTTCTGAAAAGGCAATCATGGTTTGAAGAACTGTGCCCTGGAGGATGTTTACCATGAGTAGTAAACAACAACAGAAAGGGATTTGTAATCATCACAGGACGTGCTATTGACATATTATATCGATATGGTGGGAATGGAGCGAGGTTTGGCACGGAATCGAACGTTTCCTACACATCAAGATGTTTGTTTAGTGATTGGGAAATATTGTTCTCACGGCACATCAAATATAGATATAGAAAATCCTAAAAAAAGTATATCTAAATCAGTTACTTATATATCTCTGAAGCATAAGGTAAATACTGTTCTGTATATCTGAGATGTGTGCTAACGATTGATATCGACAAAACTATAAAGTTGCAATGCTACTCTCTAAATAGCATTGTAGGGACATGCCTATCGCCCTCTCGTGCAGACGTATCCTCGTATAAACAGTAAAGTGCTGGCCACTAAAAGTTCATCACAACCTGCCGATATTGTACCGCTGGCGACGTGGTGATTATTGAACTTTTTATGGCTAGCTCGTTAGTTACGAAGTAATGATTATTGAAGTAATACAACAGCAAGGTAACATGAATCAATACATTATTAATGTTTACAGATTACAGAAAGTTTCTTACAAACAGCTGTCAGACCGACTGCCTCTAAGAGTGTAGACAATTCACACTCGACCTGCTTGCCTGTCACCTGTGATATTCATATTTTAAAAGATAAATACGATAAGGATTTGTTCACCGAGAACAATCGATACGATTTGCGTGTCGGAAGAGGCGCTTCACGCATGACTGTTGATCCATTGTGGATGTCTTTAGCGACCGGTTTAGTTATTCATTGCCGTGTCATGCGTGAATAATCATTGTTTAATTGTTGTTCGTTTCCCTTGGAAGAATATATGTTTTCTCAATATTCAGTTTCATACAGCTACTTAAATATTAAAAGCAAGATATTTGCCATCAGTATTTTGTTCTAATTTCAAAACAGAGAACGTATATTCGAATATTTCTAAAAACGCTCTACAACAAATTACACACACATCACCATATACAGACGTATGGCTATAAATAGTTCACTAGACTTGATTCTGGTGTATATCACATTTCAGCTGAGTTAGAAACTGATATCAGTTCGAAAAGGATTTCAACCAAGACGTGCATTAATTAATTTGCCCCTTTTAATGTTAAGTAGATACAATTTCTGTTCTGTGTTTTGGTTTTCGGATTGAGTGTTGTGTTGATGCCATTAGGCTGATAGGACTATGACTCGAAGGTTGATACAGCGACAGTTTTAGAGCGTTCAGCGACAGTTTTAGAGCGTACCACAACTTGGATTTCCCGGATCAAGACGATTTACGAGAAAGCACTTTCTCTGCGATAATTTCCAATACGAATGAGTTTGGAGTTGTGAATTTCGTTGTTGACGGATGGTCTACACATTATTTGTCAATAAAATTATATTACGGTCGATTAAATATGTCCAATGAAAAGTTATGATCAGAATGAGGCTGGATAATCCTGATCTCATGGGAGTTTGAACATGTCGTCTATGTGAGCAGGGTAGGCCTTGGTAATCCTAGTCTCGAGGGAGCTTAAATATGTCGGGTAAACAACATTACTTCTGACACATTGGAGTAGCAATAAATGGCGAATACTCAATTCCATTTCTGTAATAGTTTTTACGTGTCTGTAGACCGACTCTCCGGCGGGCTATTGTCCTAGCTCTGGACCTTGTTGACTCGGACGCTATGTTACACCTGTGCCAGGTAGCTATGCTATATAATAGCATACTGAATAATTTAGCGGAAATTCAAACGCTGGTCCTGTCGTCATATTTAGTTGGATCCCAGACCGTATATCGTATAAATTAAA